GTCACTTGTATGAAAAAAAGATATTCATTAATAGCTGTTATTTAAAAATGCAGACAAATGCATGCACGCACCTTGCAAAATTGTCTCATCCTTTCCTTTTGAGTTACGAGGCAAACCAGTTTCTACCAAGAACTTCTTATTTACTTCTGAGGTTGGTAAATAAACAGGTTATTTCATTTTCTTTGTTAAAGTTTAGCTGGCATGAGTTTCTGGTTTGTTACAAATTATAATTAGACTATTAATTGTTACTGGTGACAGTAAACTTCTTTGTATTTTACACCATAATTTCATTAAAAAGTATAATGAGATTATTTCCTAATTCCCTTTCTAAAGTAAAATCATTTAGAAGGGGCATTAGGATTTTCATTTAGAAATTGAAACTTTCTAAAATGTATTTTAGGGATTGAGGGTATTTTTAAAAAAAGTTTAAAATGGGGGAGAGAGGTAAAACCCATTGTTAAATCGCACTTTTATCCTCTCATGTATGACCAACGCATCTCATTTCTGTCAATTTATTTGACAGAAATGTAATTTTGGACCCAATTGCAAACCTTACTAACCTGGAAGGGTATAATAGTTCAAACTGCAACTACACACACTAAAGTGTTGTCAGCCAACATTGGGCTCATATTCAACCAGACGGGTGAGTGCTTCTTTGGTTTAGGTTCAAGATGGTTTAGGAAGCACTGGCCTGAGTTTGCGTCTGTCTTCAAATTCTCTGTTGCTGCTTTATGTAGGTATGCAAGTAAGCCACATCGAGCCGGGATACGGTTCATTTAAGCTATGCTTGCTAGGTTGAGCTCAACTTGAGCATTGACCTTCAAGTTTAAACCTGGTTCATTACAAATTCAGAACCTATAAAACAGGCTGAGCTTGAGCTCGAGTCTGAAACTTGAAAAAGAAAAATGAATGAATTTTAAAGTACATATTTATAAATTATACTGTTAACTTAACAAGGTTTTTACTTTTTTGTATTATACACTTTTTCGTATTATACATAGGCTTGCAAGGCACCCTCCACTAAGCAAAGCCTACACAAGCTCACTGTTTTAAGAACAAGTCCAATTTACTCAGGTCTAAGTGTGGCCTTTGCAAGCAGCATAGCTCATTGTGTGCAACCCTGGGAAACCAGGGATTTATCTTGTTAAGTACATGGTATGGCACAAAGGGACTGCACTTGCTCAGGAGTTAGTCAACTTACTCAAAGTAGGTGTAGGAAGAAAAAATAAACCAACAAAACTATTAAAGTTTATGAGCTGTGCTTCAGAATATGATCAGAATAATAGGCACTTGTAAGGTTTACAATGCCCTTGAGACACTGTTCTCTTATGTAAGTTAATCATTTCCATGAGTTCTAAACTTGCTAGCAAAACCGATTTACTTGAACTTGGATTCGAGGCCTTTCTTGCACAATCATATATTCCCTTTTCCTACTGCCAGAAATATCTGGTCCATTGATTCCTGAACTCCACTGGAAAAGCAGCACAGCTTTCTTGATTGTCTAAAGTTGTCAAGAAGCTTTATTCCAACACAAAATACCAAAAAGTTTGTCTTAATCTCAAGGGAGCTTATCAAGCAATCAAGGCCTCAAACATTCTATGTAAGTTTAGAAATAAAATACAGTAAGAACTATAAAATATTAGGGATTTCCGACAAATTTGGTTTTCTAACATGTGCTTGAGTGCTGTTCTAGGTTCTAGGAAAGTAGTTACGTGATAGCACTGACCTTCTTGAGTATTGCCCAGAAATTAGAAATTTGTATCCACCTAGGTATGAATGTGCGATCATTAGAATATATCAATGGTTCGCTTCAGCCTAAGTGCATTTGCAACTTAGCTTACCCTGATCACCGAATGTCACTATAAATGAATTGACAATTTATAGGAGCGTGTGGCACAAGGGAGTGCCTTTTATAAAGTGCCTGTTTGCAAAAATTTTAAAGGATATATTTAAGTTCGAAGGGTGTTGTAAACTCAATTTCGCTTGAATCTACTTTAAAGGGAGTGTAAGGACATGCTGAAGATAATTACAAATTTTCACGTTTTAGTTCTAGGCTACTTTTTGTTTAACCTGAATACCTTTTGCCTTATTTCTTGTTTGTTTCAGTCATTAATTTGGTACTTTTGCCTGTTTTCAACCATGTACAGCTTTTTGGGCTGGTTCCCACGGCTTCTTTGTTTGAGTTGGAGGCAGCAGGTCAACGTTACTGTGAAGATGATTGGGATAAACAGAAAAATCAACATCACAGCATCGTTGACTCGGATTTATTGAAATATTGTTTCTCATCTGCATATATGGTGGCACTGTTGCATGACAGTCTAGGAATCCCCATGGATGAGAAAAGGTATGTTGTACACTTGCAGGCTTGGTAGTAACTAGTAATCTTCATCTATATTCTTTATGTATCCATTGGATCAGGTGAGTTAATTAAAAAGCTGCCAGAAATCCTATGAGCTATACAACTGATATTTTTGGTATTGATGCATGCGTAATAACGAAGAATGCATTTCTACAATGTAGAAGGCTTTGTATGCACTCTGCATGTCTTCAAACTTCATTTTACTGCATTTTGTGGAGCTATCCTTATTGCATACCCTTTACAACACTTAATATCGTGATCTAGCTTCCCTTGATCCTATATTTGTTGTAAGATGGAAACCTTTTTGTATACGATCAAGTTAATGTTATTACTCTTTTCAGGGTTGGATTTGCAAACAAGACTGGAAACATTCTCCTTGATTGGACACTTGGTGCTTTCCTCGTTGAAACAATGCTGGAGCCCCTTGAATGGGAACTGGACAATATGGGCCAGATTGTTGGAAATGAGTCAGTCACTTACTTCTCTTTCTTTGCGTTTCTCTTAATTGCTCTATTCGCTGTATTCTTTGTATTGCAATCGCGGAAACCACAATTAAAGACTATATACGATTTAGAGAAGGGACGGTATATCATCACCCGTGTACCTAGGTAATTATACATCTTTATTTTGTTTTATTTCTTTTTTAATTTGTTTTTTAAAAGTTCATTCAATAGGAATCTGAAATCTGTATTTTTTGAAGCAATTGTTGTCAACAATTAATGAGAGCACCTTACCAACTCTGTGTCTACTTCTTAAGAGTATTTCTTCCTTATAATCAACATGGGAAAATAAAATATCCATTTTGTAGCGCGGTATTGTTTCACGCATCCTGAACCAAAATCTGGATTCAACGCATCTTCATTTTCATAATGTGCCAAAGATGTAAAGGAACAGTTTAGGTTGTCACAAAGTTCGCAATTGATTAATGTTTATTTCGATGTCCGATTTGGTTGATTTCTGGCATGAATGGTCTTTGAAGGGGGTCTTAGAGACGGTTCATAAAACCACTATGACTGCGAGCCTAACAAAGTAGCCTGTATGTTATTTATATGGTAGTGTATATAAAATTTTCTCAATAGATTAGAAAGGAGTAATCAAACTTAAAAACAAATATTGTGCCTTATAATTAAAGTTGATTTACTTAATAAAAAACAAACTTACATTAATGTTGGAAAGATTTGATTGAGGGCTTTATGGTGATTCAATCAAATGCGCTGTTCGAAACCTGTGTCCATTGCAACAATCTCTAATTTCTCTAGAGTAGTAGTAAACAAGTTCAATCTTTCTGGAATCTTTTTCTGTTTTAGGCAACTTTCTATCTTTAGATGCTTGAGCTTCATCATTGCATTGTCTTCCACTGTCCATTCCTCCAATTAAAGAAACAAGGTGTAGAACTTGCAGCTGTGGAAACCCTTCTGAAGAGGAAACCAGTTCCCTCCATTTGTATGATTGGTTCCCCGAGACAAAGCATCTTCAGGTATGGCAATCTTTCTAGTTGAACTATCGAATCTTTCTGGAGCTCAGAACCAATCAAACTTAGCTTGACGAGGTTTCGCTGAAATTCACATACGTCAGGTAACTTCTCTATTTTCCCCTTCAAACACAGCTTGTGGAGATGTTGGAAATGAGAGAGGCCCATGGATGTTGGGAATGTTTCATTGTTCATCACCTCCAGCGACAATGATTGCAGGTAGCACATTCTCCTTAGGATTGAAATCACCAAGTTTACCTTTTCTAGTGATAATCTTTCTATTCTCAGTCGTCGTAGACTGATCATGTTGGCTAAGCCGCCGTCTTCTATCCATCTTCCAGCCCATGTAGTTTTTAGGGTCTGTAAATGGCTCAAGGTGTCCAATCTAAGCTTGACACAATTTGGTTGGGACTTATCACAAAGGAGCAAATGCTCCAAACGTTTCATCTTCCAAATTACATTGGGGATGGGTGAATAGAAGATCCCAAATCCAGTGTCTCTAGGTTCTTCAAGTTTCCAATCGATGATGGGATGTAGCAATTTTTAAGAATCTGGCTCACTCCAAGATACCTCAACTGAATTAGGATCCCTATAGCACTAGGTGTATGCTTTAGATCTAAGACCTTCAGCAACTTGAAATCCTTTTCAATAAAATAGTAATTTGGATGTTGAAAGTCATTGAAAAAATGAAGGGATCGTAAATGGGGAGCATATGGATTTAGGAAAGGTGAGTGTAGGAAACCATGCTGCGTAGGGTTAGAATGTAAGGCAATTCTTCGAGATTTGGTTGATGGGGAAACTGATGATTCAACTTCACGACCAGTATAAATTCCAAGAAAATTTTCTTCCCTCGATACAGAGAGAGAGAAGTCTCTAAGAACATCATGGATGCTGATGGTCTTAACCCTCCCAAGTGAGGTTAGAGTTCCCACTTGGATCATGCACCTTTTAATCAACTCGTTCAAGCAATTTTCAGCAACAGCTTCTGCTTTATCTTTCCCCTTGTTGTGGTAAGAAAGAATCCTTCTGCTACCCACAAGCGCGTCAATTGTGTTTTTGGTATGGAGAAATCCTCAGGGAAAAGACCCAAATGGAGAAAACATGATTTTAAGTAGAAAGGCAAGTCTTTATAGCTCAGGGCTAAAATTGCAGAAACACGATCTTGATCAATCAGGTGCCAACTGATGTTTTGATGACATGTTCCCACTCCTCTCTAGTCTTGATTTTCCTGGATGGTAATCCTCCAAGCACCACCACTTGCAAGGGGAGATCGCCGCATTTCGTCACCATCTCTCTTCCTAGATTCTCCGAGTCGGAGGGAAAATAATCCATTCCCAGGAGTGATTTCTTGCAAAACAATTCTAGGCTTTCGTCTTCTGTCATTCCACTAGTAGGAAATGCAGCTTCCAAACTATCCCAAACCTCCTTTTCCCATACATCATCAAGAACCACAAGGTACTTTCTCCCTCTCAAGAATTCATGCAGCTGCTTTACCATCTCTTCTTCTACTTCCTCCAAATTGCCTATATTTCGAGCATTTACATCTTTGATGATTCTTCGCAGAGTCTCTTCTTCTGTACTCTTGAGATACATAAACGAACGCCTTACAATCAAATTGGTCCCTTAGATGAATGAGATTGAACAAATTGGTCCCTTAGATGAATGAGATTGAACAAATTTTTCGCAACCACCCATACCTACAATAGATACCATCTGGTGCCTCGGCCCCTCTGCTCCTTCCTAGATAGCTGTGTTAGCAATGCCTCAGTGTCTTATACAAGATCAACCAAATCATCTTCCTCAGTATGGGTTAATGGCTGCCTCCACCATCGCAGCCTCTCATTCGTAGAAATGATGCCTTCACCTCTATCTCCCTTCGGTGAAGCGTTGCTGGCAATGCCAAAACTGTCCTTTTGCTTAGAAATGTGGTCGATCCTTGATTCCTTGATTGGATTTTTTCAATTTTCCTCGACTTTGTGATGATGGATTGGCATTACAACTTTTTTCCCTAAACTTTGTGATGCTGCTGCTTGTTACATCTACCCAAGTGTAAGTAGTCACACGTAGTAATAATCTTGGAAGTCCAAGTATCGTATCCTCAAGGAGCAGGCAGGCAAATGTCTTTAGACAAAGAAATAATTAAACATACCAAAATAAATGTGACAAGCAAAATGGAAAAGTAATTTGATTTGAGTGTTGTAGAGATTGAGTTTAAAAATGAAATATCAATGATGAAAATGCTAAGGCATCAAGGTTCAATTCTTTAAGCAAAATATGTTTCATGCTCTTTAATCCAAATTATAACTTGATTAAAATTATCATTGAGAAACTTTGACTGGAAGATAAAGAAATTAAAATCAATTTAATTTTTCAATGTTATCTTTTATTAATGATTGTTCAAAAAATGGAGTTGCTTAATATCTAATCTTTTAATTTAAAAGCATGTTAGTCAATTCTTAACAATGAGGAAAATATAATTGAACTCATGAAAGATAGTAAGACTTAACATCAATCAAAATAAAAGGATATGAAAATATTGAACAACCAAAAATAAAAGAAGTTAGCAATTCATATCTATATTGGATTAAAGAACAATGAACAAACTTACTCAAGGGACATTCCCTTTAGCCTTAGCTAGAGTTCTAACAACTCATTCAAAAGAAAAACATAACTAAATTTTAAATGGAATGGATACAAAAATTTGTCTTAGTGGTCTCCTTGCCAAATAAGTTAATGGGTGATTTATAGTAGTCAATGAGGTGAGTGGAAAGCTAATACATTTATGGTGGGTAATGAAGGGTTTAAGTGAGAGATTAATTGGATTAAACATGTGTTGATGGTGGAGAGTCAGTGGAAAATAAATAATGGTGAGGTAGTGGACGTTAAATGGCTATATGAATGACATGAAATAGGCTCTTTAGCTTCAACGTTTTTGTCTTATCTTCTCCCTCTTTACTTCTCTTTAAAATCACAATAATCCCACAATCAATTCTTCAATAAAATCCGCCAGCAATTCTCTTCACACCTAGCTTGAACTTGGACAAATATATATTATCATCTTTTGGCTTTCCAACTTCCTACAAAAGATAAATTCACCTAATAAGTTCACCGAATTAAATACATAAAATTCATAAATCCAATTGGTGTGAATGAAATGTAACATCAACTGAAATTATCTTTAATATGCCAAATTTATATCATAAAGTCTCCAAAATAATATTTAAAAGATGCAATTTGAGACTATCGTCACAATTCCCAACCAGCTTATTGCTAGTCCCTGGCAATTCAAGTGACTAAAGGAAACTCAAATTTAAGCAAAAATGAAAAATAAAATAAATAAAAAACAACTAAGCCACTTTTGCAGGAAACGATTGCATTTAACGTATGCAACAAGCCTTTAAACCCTTAAGTTACCCCTAAAGGATGAGTTATAGTCTCGTGAGAGATTTCAGGATGACACCCACAAACATCATGTATGAGGCTAGCACAATTATTCAGAAATATGAAATAAAATAAACTTCGAAAAATTATTTCAACACTTGTCACCAACAAAAAGGACAAAAGCACAAAGTCCGAATTTTCAATTTATAAACAACATTAAAAGAGAGAACACTTATTTAACATTTCAAGTTAATCCCATCACGAAGTCCAAATCATTTATAATTAGCCAGTAAACTTTTCACATGTTTCCTTTGGTGTAAAGTGAACCATCACAATTGAGTGGCATTAGCTAAATTCCAATCACACCAACCCTTTGATCTCAAGAGTTGTCAAACTCCCTTGCAAGAAACAAACCAAGGTATTTTTTTTAATACTATTTATTTTTTATTTTTTCAAAATGTGGGTTGTGCAATGCCTAGCTCCATTAACCTTTCTAAGTAACCCATATAGCGAGTATTAGGCCAGTGACTCTCAAACCAAAAAGGCTTTAGGGCACTAGGTGTAGAGCACCCCTACGAGCTTACTAACTTAGGTTAAAAAGGCTACAAAACTAAACTAGCCGCACAAAATTATTCACACCCAGAACGTCACTGTTTGACGCGAACACTAATTGCTGATTAGGCAAGAAGCCTAGTTACTAAGTAGAAGCTTGAATAGATTATTTCAAGAACTTTTTTTTAGGCCCAGACTATTTCAAGCCAATTGCAAAAATATTTTTCGCAGGTTAAGGGTTAATTGCCATTTATGGTAATTTAATCTGAAAGAATCCAGATTTAATTAGTTTGATTAATAGCTAGCTTCTAGATTTTTTTCCCAAAGGCTCAAAGTTTGATCACCACTATTGATCACTAGATTCAGAAATCAAATCAGCAGAAAATGGGGAAGATTGTTCTCTCCACAAAAAGCCCACTTGATCCCCAACGACAAGACATCTACAGAAGAAAGAGCAGAGGACGGTAGAAAGGTTAACTCGGAAAACCACTCCCCATAACCATTAAATGCCAAAAAATAAGGCCAAGTTTCTTCCCATACTCGTGAGGATTTCTCGTCCGTACAAAGCTGGGTTTATAAAAGATAAACAAGAAATAAGAGAATTGGTTGTTCAAAAGTCAAAACTGATCAATCTTGAAAACTGACTCTTGATGGGGGCTTTTCTTGTCAGACTAACCACCACCCTTTTTGTGCTGGAACAGAGGATCCTCTCAGCAATATGTCCTCCAGATAGTAACGAATAATCACTCGTGCAAATCCTCTATAAATATGAGAGGACATGAACATGATTGAGGACAACAAAAATTCAATCAAAAATAGTCATACTGACAAACTCAAACAAGATCATTCGATCCCAAGTCTTTCAGACTCAAAGACAACCAAGCTCTTTGTTTTTGCAAAAGTCATCCAGCCTTTGACAAAACAGGCAGAACTCAAACTTCCGACCACAGTTCAGCTCAAAAAAGCAACTCATAAGGGAAACAAGATTTCTTTCATTACAAATTTGGTTTAGACTAGGTGAATAAAGTGGAGTTCGAGTTTTTCATAATATGAAAACCTCAACAAATTTTCGAAGAAACCTTGATGTCTCAGAATCCCCAGAATAGCTCTCAGGTGATCCATAGTTAGTCCAGTCTAGACTAGAGGTGTCAAACGGGCCGTGTCGGGCTGACCCGTCCTATTTAAACTCATACTTTTAACGTTTTCGTGTCGGGTCGGCCTGACTCATTTAATTTATCGGGTAGTGTCGTCCGGCCCATTTAGTAAAATCATTATCCCGGCCCGGCCTAAAGCCCATGTCTACATTGAAACAGGCCAGGTCGAGCTCATGCTCGTGCCATACTCGGGCCCAAGAACCAACCCATTTAATTTGAATTTTTTTCACTTGATTTTTTTTTCCACTAGATAATTCAAATTATAAACATTAAAAGTATAATTAGAGGCAAGAAATGATGAATTATTTGAAAACATTAATCAATCAAACATCCAAACAATATGAAAGGGAGGAGGGCAAAAAGTGTCCAACTCCACAAAGTCCACTTCAACTTTTCATCTTTAAACAACTTATTATTTTATATGTGAAGAAATGTCTTGCTTTGATTATAAGAGAATCGTATATGTCATATGAACTGATTAGATATAAAGTCTAGTGTTGTTTAATTAAGGGTTAATCGTTTTATTAGTTTCTGAACTTAGACCCGATTTGCATTAGAGTACCTCAATTTCCAAAATGGTTCCCGTGGTCTGTCAACTTCAGTTTTGTTAGGACAAATGGTCTTGCCGTCAATTTTGTTAACTTTTCGTTAAAAACAAGGGCAAAATGGTATTTTGTATCAAAATTGATTAAAATATGAATAAAAAATTAGAAAACTAACAAATTAAAATTAAACTCACTCTCCCCTTCTATCCCGATTTCTACTCCCCTAAACTTGATTTATCTTTTTTTTTGTTGGTTTTTTATTTGATTTTCTTTTATTTTTATTTTAAAGATATGATTTTTTATTCATTTTTTTAAACATAAAAATACCATTTTGCCCCTGCATTTCACAGAAAAAGTTAACAAAATTGCGATAGGACTATTTGTCCTAACAAAAATGAAATTAAAGGACCACGGGAACCATTTTGAAAATTAAGGTATTCAAATGCAAATCTAGTCTAAGTTCAGGGACTAATGAAACGATTAACCCTTTAATTAATTTGTAGTTGATATGTTTAATTAATTAAGGACCCAATTAATTTCCCTAAAATGAAAGACATCAAATATCTGTTTATGATTATAATTTTTTTTAAATATATATATATATATATATATAAACAATGACATTAGATGTCAAATTTTTGCATTTTGACTTTTGAGGGAAAAAAAGAAGTTAAGTGGGCCAGGCTTGGGCCGTGCTTGAAGCGGGCTCAGGCCATGGGCCAGCCCAATCCATTCGACCTCATTTTTTTATCTCGGCCCGGCCCATTAATATTCGTGCTCATGCCTTGCCTTGCCTCATTTAAACAGGCTGGGCTCATGTCGTGCTGGGCTGGTCCATCCTATTTGACACCTCTAGCCCAAACTGAAGAGATCTCAGTTTTGCCCATTCGTCAAGTCTCTCCACGGCTAAAATATATTAAAAGCTTTGCCAATCTCAACATTGGTATCAATTTCCAGCTGAACCCTACCAGTTGAAGGTGCTGACGTGCAATTCCAGTACAGATAAATCCAGTCCATCCTGAGTCATAAGTAAAAATCCAAGCAGAAATCTAAGTCCAATGTTCTGATGTCTTTCCAGACTTGGCAGTTCTTTTTGGTTTAAATTGTGTAATAAACAATTTTCTTTGAATTAAGTTTGGTCCATTTGCAACATTCATTTTTGGCTAGAATGACTAGTTTTTATTGTGGGAAATTATAAAGTCCTCACCCATCTGAGGCAAGAAAAGAATTTACTTGGGAGATATTCCTCACCCAAATTCACAATCACTTGATCAAAGTCAATAGCTTGAGGCGCAAGTTAATAAATTTTTATAAGTTTGTTAAGGTTTTTAGCCCCTAACAGTGGCACACTCACATACCAAAAGAAGTTGACTTGTTGACCACCAATGGCTTTCAAGATAATGGGGAATTTCACCCTACCATCACAGGAACTACATCAAAACAGGTGAACATCAAGTTTGTGAGCTTTTCCACGGCAATTGCAATAGCAAGCTCCGCCATCTTTTATCTCTTTGATTGGACTTTTTTCTTTTCTTTTTTGTTTTTGTTTTCTCAACTTCTACTGCAGCTCCCCCCTCTGATGTTGGTGTCTTGTTAAAGCGTTCCATGCCAGTCCACTTTTCTTTTTTTCTTTTTCCACGAACCTTCCAGTCAACTTCCAATTACTTTCCGAAGTGTAATTCATGGGTGGTTTCCTTGCTTCCGCGTGCACCTCCGGCCCCTCCCTCATCAGTCAAAAGGGAGAGAACCTTATTCCATACCCCATGTTCATTTTGCCTTTTTCTTTTCCTTTCTTTTTTGCAGATAGTGGCCCATGCAGGGTCCCTTGATTTAGCTAAAATAATGTATTTTTGGTTCTGTTCCATATAAGGAAATCAAAATTCGAAAAGGAATAAATTGTTTAATAATACAGTACTCAGTGGTATTTTTATTTTTGTTTAATTTACCTTTACACAAGCGATATTGGAGAAGGAAAAGAGCCGTGAGGCCAAGCCGTGAATATAGATGGAAACTAGAGTTAAAGAGAAGTTGCAGGGGCTTGGCTTTGTCTACTTAAGTCATCAATGGCAAAAATGATTACTATTGTGGCAAGAAACTAACAAGAATATTATCTTAATTATAATGATTACAATTTGTTGTATTTTTTGTATTGCCAACTCTGCGTCTACTTCTTAAAGCATTTCTTCCTACCTCTATGTCTTATAATCAACACGGGAAAATAAATATTCATTTTCTAGCATGGTATTGTTTCCGGCATCCTGAACCGAAACACCAGAATTGAAAGCATCTTCGTGCCAAGAACGTAACGGAACATTTAGGTTGTCACTAAGTTAGCAATTGATTAATGTTCATATCGATTTCGAATTTGGTTGATTTTTGGCATGAATGGTCTTTGAAAGGGGTCTTAGAAATGGACGGTTCAAAAAACCACTATGAATATGAGCCTAACAGAGCAGCCTGCATGGTATTTATATAGAAAGGAGTAATCAAACTTGATAACTAATATTATGCCTTATAATTAAGGTCAATTTACTTGTTAAGAAAGAAAAATTTACATTAATCTTGGAAACATTTGAAACAATCTAATCTGTTGCTTGAAGCTTTTGTCCATTCGGGCGAACGCCGTCCTTTTAAGGGGTCGTACCTTGTAACAACCTGTAATATCGTAACAGTATTCGACACCAATCTTTCTGGATTCTTCAGTCTGGGGCAATCTTCTATCTTTAGATGCTTGAGCTTCATCATTGCATTTTCTTCCACTGTCCATTCCTCCAACTCCATTAAAGAAACAAGGTGTAGAACTTGCAGTTGTGGAAACCCTTCTGAAGAGGAAACCAGTTCCCTCCATTTGTATGATTGGTTCCCCAAGACAAGCATCTTCAGGTATGGCAACCTTTCTAGTTGAACTATCGAATCTTTCTGGAGCTCAGAACCAATCAAACTTAGCTTGACGAGGTTTGGCGGAAATTCACATGCATCAGGTAACTTCTCTATTTTCCCCTTCAAACACAGCTTGTGGAGATGTTGGAAATGAGAGAGGCCCATGGATGTTGGGAATGTTTCGTTGTTCATCACCTCCAGCGACAATGATTGCAGGTAGCACATTCTCCTTAGGATTGAAATCACCAAGTTTACCTTTTCTTGTGATAATCTTTCTATTCCCAGTCGTCGTAGACTGATCATGTTGGCTAAGCCGCCGTCTTCTATCCATCTTCCAGCCCTTATAGTTTTTAGGGTCTGTAAATGGCTCAAGGTGTCCAATCTAAGGTTGACACGATTTGGTTTGGACACATCACGAAGGAGCATATGCCTCAAACGTTTCATCTTCCAAATGACATTGGGGATGGGTGAATAAGAAGATCCCAAATTTAGTGTCTCTAGGTTCTTCAAGTTTCCAATCGATGCTGGGATGTAGTAAGTTTTAAGAATCTGGCTCAATCCAAGATACCTCAACTGAATTAGGATCCCTATAGTACTAGGTAGTCGCATGAATCCAATTGTATCCTTTAGATCTAAGACCTTCAACAATTTGAAATCCTTATTTTTAATAAAATAGACTTCTGGATATAGAAAGCGGTTGAAAAAATGAAGCGATCGTAAATGGGGAGCACATGGATTTAGGAAAGGTGAGGGTAGGACAGTATGCTCCGTAGGGTTAGAATGTAAGGCAATTCTTCGAGATTTGGATGATGGAGAAACTGATGATTCAACTTCACGACCAGTACAAATTCCTAGAAAATTTTCATCCCTCGATACGGAGAGAGAGAAGTCTCTAAGAAGATCATGGATGCTGATGGTCTTAACCCTCCCAAGTGAGGTTAGAGTTCTCACTTGGATCATGCACCTATTAATCAACTCGTTCAAGCAATTTTCAGCTACACCTTCTGTTGTATCTTCCCCTTGTTGGGGTAAGAATCCTTCTGCAACCCACAAGCGCATCAATTGCGTTTTTGGTATGGAGAAATCCTCAGGGAAAAGACCCAAATGGAGAAAACATGATTTTAAATAGAAAGGTAAGTCTTTATAGCTCAGGGCTAAAATTGCAGAAACACGATCTTGATCAATCAGGTGCCAACTGATGTTTTGAAGGACATGTTCCCATTCCTCTCTAGTCTTCATTTTCCTGGATAGTAATCCCCCAAGCACCACCAATGCCAAGGGTAGACCACCGCATTTCGTCACCATCTCTCTTCCTTGATTCTCCAAGTCGGAGGGAAAATGATCCATTCCCGAAAGTGCTTTCTTGCGAAACAATTCCAGGCTTTCATCCTCTGTCAGCATTCGCGGCTCATGGGGAGTGCTCCTTGCATCTGCATGTAAGGCAACCTCCCTGTTTCTGGTTGTCAGCATCACCTTACTTCCTGCCATTCCACTAGTAGGAAATGCAGCTTCCAAACTATCCCAAACCTCCTTTTCCCATACATCATCAAGAACCACAAGATACTTCCTCCCTCTCAAGAATTCGTACAGCTGCTTTACCATCTCCTCTTCGTCTACTTCCTCCGAATCACCTATATATGGAACGTTTACATCTTTGATGATTCTTCGCAGAGTCTCTCTCCTTCTATACTCTTGAGACACATAAACGAACGCTTTACAATTAAATTGGTGCCTTAGTTCAATGTGATTGTACAATTTTTTTGCAAGAGTAGTTTTGCCCAGACCCCCCATACCTACAATAGAAACCACTCGACGCCTCGGCTCCATGCTAGATAGTTGTGTTAGCAAGGCCTCAGTGTCTTGTACAAGATCAACCAAATCATCTTCCTCAATATGGGGTAATGGCTGTCTCCACCATCGCAGTCTCTCATTTGTTGAAATGCTCCCTTCACCTCCCTCTCGAGACGAAGCGATCATGCTTGCAATGCCGAAACTGTCCTTTTGCTTAGAAATGTGGTCGATCCTTGTTTGGATTTTTTCAATCCCCCTCTTGACTTTGTGAACATGGATTGGCATTACAACTTTTTTCCATAAACTTTGTGATGCTGCTGCTGCCTCTCTGAGGTAAGTTTCTACTACATCTTCGGCATCGAAGGCCACTTCTCTGATCTGAGACACCCAATTGCGAAATCTTTCGTTTCTGTCTTGCTCTGCTGCATGATCTGCATCCTTGAGAAAGCTTTGCATCCACCTCAATTCGTTTCTGATTTGCTCAACTTTCTCACCAACCCCATCCAACAGAATCGCTTCTTGAATTATCAAGTTCGTGAGCTTTTCCACGGCAGTTGCAACAGCAAGCTCTGCCATCTTTTCTCTCTTTGATTGGTGTTTCTTTTTTCTTTTTTCTCTCAACTCTACTACTACAGCTCCCCTTGTTGGTCTGCTCTGCTCCTGTTAAAGCCTTCTGCAAGTCCACTTTTCTTTTCTTTCTCTCTTTTTTTTAATGAACCTTCCAGTCAACTTCCAATTATTTTCCAAATTGTAATTCATTGGTGGGTTCCTCGTTTCCGCGTGGGCCTCCATTACCAGCCAGGAAGGTCCCTTCCCTCCCTCATCAGTCCAACGTCTAATTTAGAGTTCAAACGGGCATCTTCCTGTTCATTTGGGGTCGGTTTCTTTTCTTTTCTTTTTCTTGATAGCGGCCCATGCAATTCATTTGTGGGTCCCTTGATTTTAGCTAAAATAATGTATTTTTGGTTCTATTTCTATATACGGTAGGAATGAAATTGTTTAATAATGACAGAAACTATAAGAAATGAGCAGGAAAGAGTCAAGAGAACAATTACTCTTTGTTAATATTCTCTTAGCAAGAAAAGTAAGCAGTGCTTGGCTTCGTTCAGTGGCAAAAATGACTGCCCTGCTATTGTGGATAATTAGCTAGGAACTAACAGCAAGATCATTGAATCAATAATAATAATTACAATTTCACTGACGCATGAAACAGCAGAGTCACATCGCAACAGCAGAGTTTCACTCCTGTCCACTCCAGAATTAGATAGCTTTCATGTTCATCTTTAAAAGCAAGTTCCTGGTCATAGCAAAATATATAATGGGGTAATGCACCAGAATTCTACAACCTTCCCTCATAAAAATCCTACAATCACGTCAGATTTCTACAGCATTGTCTTACAAAAACCCTACTTTCGTACTTGCATGACGTTTTCAGCAAATGCAAGATTGTTTGGAGAAGAATATACAATACACTCCATACTACTTGTAAGAGGCGACATGAAATCGAATTATTGAAGACGGATAGAGCTTCGAGTTGATCTTCTTAGATTAGGACCACCAGGTAAAGAAGCTTGAGAGGAACCAGATATATCTCCATCACCAATTTCATTTCTTCTCAGCCTCTTTTTCTTGGATCCTACAGGTGGCTGGCTCTGAGTAGGGTAATTTGGTTCATCATCTTCTACAGCTTCTGCTTTGGTTACCGTATATTGCCACTGAGTACCGCAACTATTTTCAGTTTTACTAAAAAATAAGTTGATCATTACCTTTCTTTCTGAAAACAATTTCTTAAGACAGTACTCATGGATTCGAGCTGTACAACCTTCTTTTTGGCACAACGCTGCCTGTCAAAAATAACCCCAAAATTTGTCAGATACAACGGCATCAGAAAACTATTGGCAAATTACAGGCACTAACTTGTTTAGTACAAGATTCTCGGGTTCCATAATTTACAAGCTTTCACAGAAGCAATGCACATGATTAAATATAGGCATCCTCCAGCAAGAAACAAAACAAAGATAATAAAAGAAAGAAAGCATAGGAGCAAGGCAGTGGGCTGAATAATTTGACAATAGTAAACAAGTGATGAAGCTTTTGAATATTTAGGGATGTAGAAAGAAATAAAAATTAACACTAGCAAGGCAAAGCAACATTCGGACAACCTTCACCCCAGCTTCATTGCACACTTCACACGCCGGAACATCGTTACTGCGAAACCAACTTCGTAGATCGAGGAAGGATCTGACACCAAGTCCAATATAATTATCTGGAGTAACACTAAGCCACTGGTCCTGTACGAGTTCATCAAGAGTTTTTTCCTTCATAGATATTGAGAAATTCTTTAATGCAGGAGGGACATGAGGTAGACCTCCATGTGATTGCGACGTTGTGCCCATTAGAACCTAAAGATAGAACACAAGAGTTATCAAGCAAACAAAGGCATGAACAGGTTTAATAACATTTGCGAATTTACTCAAAGTTCTTTGTATCTAGTCTCATCTGATGAGGCAGATTTATTTCTGTCCATTTCTTAAATTGCTAAGCTGGGGTATTAATAACATGCCCACATCACTTAAGTGTTAACAACATACATATGCCTGGAGAACTCTAGTTTTTATTTTTTATTTTGTTTTCTGAAAACAGGCAAAACAAATATAAATAAAAAAAAGTTTACTTCTATCTCATTAATCATCGAGAGAACTCTGCCACCGCAAAAGCTTGATGTTTGAAGAAAATAAAATAAGACCTTATCATAGTAAGTCTGCAGGCAAATAATTATGAATCTGTTTCATTCTAATGTTTAAAAGAAGACCAAAATGTTATTAAATTTAACTATGCCAGTAGGTCGCTGGATAACTGTGGTTGTATACAAAATATTAATGGAAAGAAAAGATTATATATTGCATGAAAAAGAGCTTTTATTGTAAAGCAAAAATTGCCAAACCTGATTCTCCAATCGTAGATTAAGAGCATCAATGTTAGATATGGTTCCTTGAGCTGCACCATCTTGCACGATTGCTTCTATCTGATATTCAATATCAAATAACATAATAAGATAATTTGAATGGAGTTATGTAAATATCAGAATATGATACAACAGAAACACTAGTCAATATACAACTTCAGAAGAAATCTGCATGTAGTTGTAGATATGTAGCTTATCTACTTTTTCTTAAAAGTCTCATATAAGGGCCAATACTTAGACGGAGGCTTATGGTCAAGCATCTAAACTGGAGCGCAACCATTTATACAACACATATGACAATATGACTGGGGCAGCTTCTTGTTCATCCATAATGAACAAACTCTTGTACTTTTTGAATGTCTATATTTTCCTCTATTATGAGCAGCAAAGGACAGCACAATGAAATGAATTTTCATTTTTTTAGACGAATTATATAACTTACAAGGAAGTATTCTTCACATATACACATGTACATGTGCATATGCTTGCTTGAACAACATACTTGCATATGATTTTATGCACATAACTTAGATAAACACTAAAGAGAATAAGCTCAGAATTCATTCTGTCTGTCAGAATGAGAGAGAGACAGCTTATGGAGGAACCCCATTTTCAACCAACTGCAGCAATCTATAAGAAAAGTGCATGGAGATTCAAAAGGTTGTTAACCTTTTTGTTTGTATTATGGTTTGGATGTCTCTCTCAGTCGCATGAAGGAGAGTCATACGACTTTATATTGCTTCAGAAACACAAACGAACAGAGAATTTATTGATTCAGCTGATAAATCATTTTCCAAGGTATATTTGGAGGATGGAGATTCTTGTAAAGGAGATTTGCAAATTGATAAATAGCATGATTGCCTTCAAAGAACATTACAGGAGGACAAGAAAAACATAAGGTATATAAGAATTAAGGAGGAACCCATAAGTTTGCATATTAAAGACATTAATCATTGACTCAAAAGAGTTCCTCTAGTGGTACAAATGCTTGAATTCAACAGAGCTTTGTATGATCATTGGTTTGTCAGTTTAACTACGACAAGCTAAACCTAAGCTTCACAGATTATATATTGGAGGATCAATGGCAAGCAATATTTGATTACTTCTTTAACTGGATTTCATTCTATAAAGCCATCTTAATCCTCATTCTCAATGTGCTACAATGTTAACTCTGACTGACTGAAATTAACAATTAGTCATTCTTAATGGGTAGTTAAGGGCTGACAAGGGAGCCTGAACTTTCTGAAACCCACTGCAAGACAATATGCTTGTAAGTAATGCCATATCTCTTCCCTTCATAAAATCAATTGACCATGGAAAATCTAAACGCTGGAAATCTAAAAGAGTTTTGAGACTTACAATAGCCTTATAGAAAGCAATCTGGGCAACTGAATATTTTGTTCCCAGCTTCGATTCTTCGTCAGAAACATTATTGACAACTCCATAATAAACTTGACCATCATATTGAAATCTGCATCCCCGCAACTCAAACTGAACATAAGAAAGTGCCTTGTTTATCTTCAGAAGAAAATCATCAAATCGCCGCCGATCACTACCTGTTTCAAATAAGATATCGTCATAAGGTAAGTGCTCAAATAATTCCTGTTAATCCTCCTAATCGCTGCCTACAACCAAGAAGTCACCACCATTGCTATAGAATAATTATAACATTAAAAACACAATTTTAAAAAAAAAATTATTGTTTTCTTAGATTTTTCCAGAAACTTTAACCTTAACAGCACAAAGAATTTCACACAAAAATATACCATTTCTAGCAAAATTGATCCTTTTTTTTCTTTAAATTTTGAACGTATTTACACAAGCACATCGATCCAAAGGAAAGTATCAGTTTATCCCTAGAATTACTGAACCATTGAATTTCAAAAATTAATAAAGAAAATAGGGAATTTTGGGCAAATTATGAAGAGGAAGACCTGGGGTTTTTCCGGTGAGGCCCGTGAAGATGCGGTGGAACTGGTCCTCCTTGAGTGGGCCGCGTGAAAGCAGAGCTTGAATGATCGTCTGGTGTCTCCAGTTTAGTTCCGTCATCTCCAATACCCTTCCAAATTCTAATTTTCTAGGGGTGGTGCACTAAATTGGTTCGCGAAACCCTAACAAGACAGAGGAAGATGGGTGTTTGGCTCTGAAGAAAATGTGAACTTTCCTTGAAAAATGGAGGTTTGGCTAATTGAGTTTCTCGAAGGCGGGAAATATTTAGGGTTTTGGGCTATTTGAGATGGCGGGAGATGAAGAGATTTCGTGGGATAATATGGTTGGGCTAAATTATTTTTAAGATTAGGAACCAATCAGTATTTAGAGCTTATATTAGAGCTGGGAATTTTCTACTACACACCGACAACCGGATTTGAGGGTTTTCTGCTATTGTTTAAGGGCAATGATTTTCCCACTCCTATTTTATCCATTTACACTCAGTTTTTAGTTATAAAAAAGGAGTGTAAGTGGATAAAATAGAAAAAAAAGGAGTGGGAAAATCACCACTCTTGTTTAAAGATAACTGACGACTGAAACTCTCGATTTCATTGAGGAAAAAAAAAAATATTCTAGATTTCAAAAATTAAAATCAGCTTAGTTTTAAAGGCAAAATGTCACTTTTGGTTTCCGTAGATTACCACTAACTTCCTTATAATTTCACTTTGATTAATTTTGTTTATGTAGTTTGGATTACATATATTTTAAAGACAATCCCTAATTTATATCATTTGAGAGTCTTAGGCCGGTATCACACTGGTGCCTAGGTGTTCATTGTTCTTCTCTTATCTTACAAATACACTCTCAAGACATTCAAAGGAACCGTGAGGCCGAATACAAGACCCTTGAATTGAATCTATTTGTAGACATAAATAGAAGTGCTCTTTATGTATTTTTATTATCTGTATCATTTTAACAATTGTTCCAATATGTTAACAAATTCAAAGTTAAATTTTTGGCTTCCTCCAAGAATGATAAGTAGTGTTTGAGCCAAAATTGAAAATATACCCAGAATGAATGAATTATGGTTCATCCAATATTATAAGGTTAAATTTGATAGCCCAGACTTTTAGTCAGATCGAAGCAATCAAATAAGCAACTTGAAATGCTCAAATGAACTTTCTCTCTTTCTTCATGAAAGTTGTTCATTTGAATGTCTACTACATTATGTCCAAATTTGAGAGAATATGGACTGGTATAGCTTTTTCAGGGCATCAAATACTGAAGCATGACATGCCCAATCTATTGCTCGATTTGCCCAAATGAGCAGCTTCCAATACCCAAATGAACTTTCTTTCTTCACAAAAGTTGTTCATTTAGATGTCTACTACAAGATATCCAAATTTGGGAGCTTTTGGATCAGCATAGCCTTCTCATATTGTCAAAACCTGAACTATGTTCGAAGAAAGCGTTTGTGATGGTCAGTCAGTTTGAATCATGCCTGATCTGACTTCCCATTGCTCAAATGAAGTTGTGTTCTTAATGAATGTTGTTCTGCCATATGTGTAAGGCCTGACATGTTTAATCCAATTTCCTCCTTATAATTTATATTCAATTATGATACATTTGTGAATAAGGCTGAGCGTAATGGTTTACTTAAACTTATTCTAAGTTTTTAGGCCCAAGATATTTTAATTTACGAAAGCCCAAGAATGTTAGTGTAAGCAGGTTGACCCTCCAATACGTTTTAAGAGTTCAGCTGGAGTTTTAACACTAGGTTTAGGGCTGGCCCATTAGGTGACATTTAAAAATGAACTTTAGGGTTTAGCTCAGTTGGTTATGGAGAAAAAAAAAACGTCCAAAAAGGAGAGAGAGAGAGCTCAGAAAAGTGAAAAAAGAATTTCTGGAGGCAGGCTGATGGCTGGGGCTTAGAGAGGAGGGTTCGAGAAGGAAACAATCATTTCTCCTTCTAAAATTTTGATATTAAGAAACTAGATGTTTGTGCAAATAATCTCACGGGAGAATATTCACTTCTAGATCCTTCAACCTTCGATCTTCCTTCTCTCTCTTCCTCCTTTCCTGTAAAACAGATTGGAGTAAATAGACCACACTCGGGGGGTGTTGGCCAAAGGCCCTCCGATGCCTAAGTTAGTTCGAGTGTTTGTAGAAAAACAATAGCTAAGCAAAGGGTACGGAGTAGTGTTTATGTAGGGTGTGAACCGGGCGGCCAGAGCCGTGTGTGGTGGCTGGAGCCATGTGGAGAAAATATGGAGAGTGGAGAGGGAGA